TTGAAAACCCTGCTATTAATCCACACACCTATGAACACCTGATTTTTTTTTTTTTTACAAATAGCTACAGGTATACAATGGATTAAAGAAATAATCTTCAACAAAATGGTGCTGGCATTACTGGGTACTGGAACATAGAAGATTGCAGATAGATGCATGTCTATTGCCATGCACAAAACTTAAGTCCAAATGGATCACAGACCTCAAAATAAATCCAGCCACAGTGAACTTATTAGAAGAGAAAGGAGGAAATATCTTTGAACGAATTGGTACAGGAGACTGCTTCCTGAACATTACACCAGTAGCACAGACACTGAGATCAACAATTAATAAATGGAACCTCCTGAAACTGAGAAGCTTCTGTAAGGCAAAGCACACAGTCAACAAGACAAAACAATAGCACACAGACTGGGAAAAGATATTCACCAACCCCACATCCTATAGAGGGCTGATCTTCAAAATTTACAAAGAACTCAAGAAGCTAGTCTCCAAAACACCAACTAATCCAATTAAACAGTGGGGTAAAGAACTAAGTAGACAATTCTCAATAGAGGAATCTAAAGAGGCTAAAAGACACATAGAAAGTATTCAACATCCTTAGCCACACAGGAAGTGCAAATCAAAACAACTCTGAGATAGCATCTTATTCCTGTCAGAATGGCTAAAATCAAAAGCAGCAATTACAGTTTATTCTGGAGATGATGTGGAGAAAGGGGAACATTCCACTGCTGATGGGAGTGACAACTAGTACAGCCACATTAGAAATCAGTATGGCAACTCCTCAGGAAAATGGGAATCAGTCTACCACAAGATAAAGCAATCCCACTCTTAGGCATATACCCAAAAGAAACAAATTCACACAACATGAACATCTGTTCATTGATGTCCATCACACGATAATTTTAATAGCCAGAACCTGGAAGCAATATAGTTACCCCTCACCTGAAGAATGGATAGAGAAAATGTGGGACATTTACACAATGGAATACTACTCAGTGGAAAAAAAATAATGAAATCTTGAAATTCACAGGTAAATGGATCGAACTGGAAGAACCTATTCTGATTGAGATAACCGAGTCACAAAAAAGACAAATATGGTATGTACTCACTCATATGTGGACTTTAGACATGGAGTAAAGGATTACCAGCCTACAATCGACAATGCCAGAGAAGCTATTAAACAAGGAGGACCCTAACAGAGACATACATGGTCCCCTGGGGAAGGGGAAATGGACAAGATCTCCTGAGCAAATTGCAAGCATGGGGGGAGGGGCGTGGGAATTAAGAGAATGAGAAGGAGAGAAGAGGAGAGGTGAGGAGGACAAGATGGGGCAAGGAAATTGAGTTGGGGGAAGAACAGAAGAGAGCAAGATAAGAGATAGTATAATGGAGGGAGACATTATAGGTTTAAAGAAAAATCAGGCACTAGGGAAATGTCTGGAGAGCTAAAAAGATGACAACAAAAAAAACGAAGCAACAGAGGAGAGGCTACCTTAAATGCCCTCCCCTGATAACGAGATTGCTTATTGACATATATGCCATCCTATATCCTTTTTCCAGCTGTTGATGGAAGTAGAAGCAGACAGCCACAGCTAAACCTTGAAATGAACTGGAACCCAGTTGCAGAGAAGGAAGAATGATGAGCAAAGGGGGTCCAGACCAGGCTGGTGAAACCCACAGAAACAGATGACCTGAACAAGGGAGAGCTCTTGGTCCCCAGACTGATAGCTGGGAAACCAGCATGGGACTGATCCAGACCCCCTGAATGTGGGTGTCAGTGAGGAGACCCTGGAAATCTATGGGGCTCCTTGTAGTGCATCAATACATAACCCAAGCATAGGAATGGACTTTGGGAGCCCATCCCACATGGAGGGTTACTCTCTGAGCCTAGGTACAAGGGGATGAGCCTAGGCCCTATCCCAAAATATATGACAGACACTGAAGACCCCCTATGGACGACCTCAATCTCCCTGAGGTGCAGAAATGTTATGCGATAGGCAGGATGTTAGTTGGGGGGGCAGGGGAGGAGTGAGGGGAAAGGGAACTGGGATTGAAATGCAATATCATATTTCTAATTCAAATAAAAAAGTAAATATTTCTTCAGTAAGCAGAAAATCATGAAACATAGTTGTACCAAAAACACAGTTGCACAAATAGTAAGTTAATCAGTGATGGGAACTGGATTCATATGCAATTCAAATGGCTCTTTAGGCTCTTATATTCAGTAACAAATATGAATTTCTTTTCTAAATATCTGATAACTTAGAAATATAGCTCTTTCTTCCTCTTGTTGCCAAAGATCTTTTAAAAATTCTGATCTTGAATAATCCAAATTTTGTGATCATTCAAATATATACATAATGTGGAATTAAGATAATATTTCTTCTTTGACAGCTCATGAACAACAGTAATTTTAGATCTAGAGAATCATGTTATCTCTGGACTCTGTAAAACAACTGGCATTCACATGAGCATACTTACAAAACCATACACATATATATAATTGAAATTTAAAATTAATATTTAAAAAATGAAACTTAAAGTGCATGTAATCAAGGTAAAGTTAACTATTGAAGGGAACGGCTCCCCTTTTCGGCAGCCATAACAGCTGAACACATGCTTGTTTGACCTTGTCCTAGTCACTAGAAAGTCAGATGCCTGCTTTGTGGCAAGGAACCAATCAGAAGTTAGCTGATGGCGGATGCTTTATGACTCTGGGTGTACTTTACGGACAAGCGCACAGCAATGACGCACAGAGCATAGCAACCACCCTGGGAGGACCACAATTACTCAAAAGATAAAAAGTGGTATTTCAAGGGAAAAATCTTACACATTACTAAGTAAGTCTTAATGTTCTTCTTCCTTTGATTCCTTCTTCACTGATCCATAGCTTTCATAATGCTGTGTGACCTTTTAAAAGTTCTTCCTGTTGTGGTGAGGCCCAACCACAAAATTATATTTTTGCTACTTTATGACTCTAAGTGTGCTACTACTATAAAACATAATGCAAATATCTGATAAGCAGAATATCTGATATGTGACCCAAGAGGTGTCTTGACCCAGAGATTGAAAATCTTCATTCTCCTTTATTTTTTAATTTATGGACATCACCACACCCCAGTGTCAATACAAAAGACACAGCTTTCATCTTAAAGACAATAACAGAGTGTTTATTCTGAGTCCATATATATGGACCAGGAATAAAGCAGTTTCATGGAGATTTTTTTAGAAAGTCATTAATCAAGACAAGTTTAAAAACATGGGTGGGGGTTTTAAGCTTCCTGCCCAGCAAGTGCTCCACTGTTGTGACCCAGCATGTCTCAGCCCCAAACCATAGAAGCCATAAGGTTCATCCTGAGTGGGGGAGCATGGACTTGGAACTCCTAGCAACCTAACAGTGACAAAGACCAGACACAGGCATCTTGTCCTCTTTAGAGAGCTCTCAGTTCCTTGCTGCAAAACTAGAGTCTCTTCTTTATTCAGAATCTTCCTGGCTGTAATCTACCCATTCTTTCCTGACCCCAAGACCATTTCTCTTCCATCTCCCTAGACTCTATCAGCAGATCTCTCTGCCTTCTCTCTTCCTGTAAACCTTTCCGCCCGATACCTCCTCACTCTCTGCTTCACTCATCATGTATAGACTTAGCTCTCTGCCCTGCAGCAGGCCTATTCAAATGCTTAGTTTTTGTAGAGATGTAAAACTAGGGGACATTCTCCATTGAGGCTATGTCATTCAACAGCAAATCAGCAAGCATCTGCAATACAAGGCAGACAGGAGCTCCAGAGCTTTGGACCCCGAGAAATCCTCTAATAGCAATAGAAATCCTCTAATTCAGCTCCTGACACTCCACAATGGTGCTTTGCTTGCCCAGAGACCCCAGCCCTGCAGAGCTTCCTATAATGAATGTTGCCCAGATGGGTCCCAGGGCAGGGCCCATGGACACCTGCAGCATGAAGACCCTGGCCCTTCAAACCCAGAAGACTGTCCCCAGCAAGGTGGACTTCAAGGACATGGTGGTCATGTTTGTGGAAAATACCAGCAGAGATATCTTGAATAAACTGTACCATGCCACCAAGTAGTCCACACACAGCTGGAAGGAGGAAAAGAAAGTTGTGAAGACTCTGGTTAAGGTGGAGGTGAAGCTAGTCATGCTACTGCAGGCTCATCAACTGGATGGTAGCAGACTTGCCCAGGGCAAAGTCTAGTCATGATGGCTGTCAAATTTCAGCGAGATAGACCCCACAATCAACTGGTAAATGCTGGCTGCTGAACTGCTGGTGACTGGAGCTTTTGCACCAGGGGACCAACCACATCTCACTGCCAGGTCTCAATCATGAAGGCTTAAGGAGGATGTTGGATGATGGTGATATCTGACTCAGTTCTACTGGCCTGGGAACCACCCTAGACTTGTGATGGTTCCATCTGAGAACAAAGAACTATCTGAAGGTTCAAAGAGCAAGATCTCCTCTCTCTCCCTGTCCTATGTCTTGTCTGCTTTTGCCCCAGATTTACTCCTGAATTTTGTCATCTTTATAATTCTGAGAATGGGTTTCATGTAGCCTCGGCTGACACCAATCTCTCTTTGTAGCCAAGAATGGCTTTTAACTCTTGATCCTCCTCACCTCTGAGTTCTGGATGACAGGTATAAGCCACCACACTTGGCTATGTGGGCATTCTTATGCTTTCAAGCAAGGCCATGGAGTACAGATGGAAGTTTCTGCCCTGCCTGGTCAATCAGTCATTTAGTTCCAAATAAACACACAGAAGTTTATATTAATTATAATCTGTTCAGCCTATGGCTCAGGCTTCTTATTAGCTAGCTCTCTCTTAATTATTGACCAATTTCTATTAGTCTACGTACCTCCACATGGATTTTTTTTTACTTACTAGAGAATGTCCTGGTCTACTACCTTCCCAGTAGCTACATGGCATATTGCTGTTGACACGTTCTTTCCCTTTCCTCTTCCCAGAATTCTCCTAGTCTGGTAATCATGCCTATACTTCCTTCCTGGCTACTGGCCAATCAGCATTTTATTAAACCAGTAGAAGCCACAAATATTTACAATGAACAAGAGCATTATCTCACATCATTTCCCCCCTTTTTTCTCTTTTCAAAAACGAACACAGACTCTAATCTCCATTGTTTATATTTTCTTGACCATTATCCTTAACAACTTGTAGCCAACATGTTAAACAACAATAGCAAAAAAAAAATTACATTGTTTTGGGGAATATAGGCATGGTTTTCTAGGCTGCTACCTGCTGATTGGGGTGCTTTTAATCTTATGGGGACCCAAAGAAAATTTAGGATTATAATCAAGCCCTGACTGGAGTATTCTGTGTGGTTACATCATCTCAACTAGCAGCCATGAGCCTGTTCAGGTTGCAAAACTCAGAAGAAACTACAAAAACAGAATTGGGAGAAAATAATTGTAAGTCTCAGACCCCTGACACCTACTAAGTGTATGCATTTGTATCCTTTCTCTGGGCTTTCTAATGTGACTTGCTTTAGGGAATGGAATTTTTAACTGTTGTGTCAAACCAGGGTTCAGTAGATCTCAACCTGCCATGATAGGACCCTACAGAAAAAGTTGGTACAGGGAAAGGCTTACTCCACCAAGGCAGCAGGACCCTAAGCATCACAGGAGCAGGAATGATGTTTCTCCAAACCAATGATACCAAGGCTAACTGGCTTCCAACACATGGAAGCTGGGATGTGGAGTGATGGCTTTCCAAATGTCTTTGTAAGTATTGACTCCAAATATGCTTTCATGTTGGAATCTGACTCTTGAGGAAGAGATACAGTGTTGTGAAATCCCCTGTTTGGAGAGTGCAACCCTTCATTGAAGAGAAGGAATATTCGGAGTCAGTGAGATGGATTAGCATATAAGGGCACTTGCTGAAGAGACTGATAACATGACTTTGATTCCTAAAATCCAGAACTAAGTTCAGCAAGTTGGCGTCTGATATCCTCATGCACAGAGCCATACTGGGAGTTACAGGTACTCAGGAATACCTGATGAGTCCTGACTCCTCAGCAAGGATGCATTGACCTGATTGGAAATTTGAAGTCTGGAATAATTGCCATCAAACCTAAGTGCCCTCAGATACTCTCTAGCTTTGGAACAGGGTAAAGCCACTGGTGAGAAAGGAATGGCTATTCAAATTGCTAAAAGTAACCCACATAAGGCAATTATTCTCTGAAATGGCAACATTCCATTGACTCTAGTTTTAATCCATCAATCAGTCTTACAGACATGCCTTCTTTCCTGGAATTTTTGTCCATATCAGTATGAATATAAACTTAATACAAAAATAAGACTATTTGATGTTGAAAAAAACTTGATTATGAAATTCAAAATATAATCACAGATATTAAGTAATTTGAGACTTTAACATACAAGATAAAGAAAATATTTCTGATCACTTGAATCTGACCACTTGATAACGATTTGTATAAATTGGTAATGTTTCACTCACCCTATTATTTTTGTGTCTATTTAAGCCTGTATGTGTATATGAATGTGTGTGTGTATGTGTGGGAGAGAGAAAGGGGGGAGCGAGAGAGGCAAAACATTAAACAAACCAACTCACTTGTTGAGGAATGCCTTTATTTCAGATTATAGTTTTTAAGACAAACCCAGGCACATGCACGAGTCAGGCACCTGATATCAGAAACTACAGCAGAGACCATGAAGACATTCTGCTACCTGACTTGCTCCCATACTCCATATTCATAATCTTTTCTTGTACAGACAAAGACTACCTAGTCAGGGATGGTGCTGCCCACAGTCAGCTGGGTCCTCCACATCAATTGTAAATCAAGAAAATGCTTCATAGTTCCTCAATTGAGTTTTCTCCTTCCCAAGGGACTTTTGTTTGAGTCTGGCTGACAAAAATCTAAGGAGTCAATGCTATGTGTATATGTATATAAACATGATTCTGTGCATGTAAGTGTATTTATATGGTATGAGTGTAGTGTATATATGTGTATTGTGAGTGACTGTCCTTTTAGCCAAACAGAAAGCATCTGGGGAAGTTCAGGTGCACCCTATTGCTAAGTATCTCTCTCTCTCTCTCTCTCTCTCTCTCTCTCTCTCTCTCTCTCTCTCACACACACACACACACACACACACACACACACACACACTAAGCTTGTTCACTGCTTACTCATCCTCATGGTGGGATGAGTGTCCATTTTTTCCCTACCAGATTATTTATGCAAATCTGCCTCAATTTCACATGGCCTTCCAGGAAGCTTGACTGCATAGGTTGAGAAAATGGGAATGAAGTCTCATCTATGCAGCTATGGGAAAGTCCTCATACCCACTGTGTAAGGTTTTTCAGGTGTGCCTGTTTGGGGAGGAGCAACCACCTACATATATGCTCCATGAGAAAGCTGGGTACGTGCATTGGTTCTGCATTATTAACTTTAATAGAGTAGGCGTTGGTTGTCACTGGGACCTTAGAGGAGAAGTAAACTTTGAATAAGTCTCCCATTGGGTAGAAATTTTAACAATAATATATATTATAAAGATAGGGTGTGTACACATGAGGAGACTAGAGGTGGTCCTAAGATGTCTTTATTGTTTGTTTTTTATCTTCTTCCCTTGAGATATGGTCTCACGTTGAACTTCAGGATTACCCTTTAGGCTTAGTTAATTGGCCTGCAAGCTCCCAGGATCTACTTGTCTCTCACTCCAGCACTGGTTATAGGCACATATGGAGATGTACTACTATTGTGGGAGTGCCAGTGATTCCAACCCAGGTTTTCATGCTTGTATGGTGGGCTATCTCGCCATATTTGAGGGAGTGTAGTAAAGAGACTGCTGGAATGGCTTCCCCACTAGGGGGAAATTTTCTACTGTGAACAACAGAGAGCAAAATATACTGAGGCATCTGGTAGAATCAAGAGCAAGAAGATAATAGAATAGACTCCACATGGTCAAGGATATCTTTGGGAGATGTGAGAGTGTAGGAGAAAATAGTACAGATAGCAAGAGACGGAACAGTAAAAATACCAATAGTGACTAAGGGAAGGAGTAGAAAAAGTACAGGACCTGAGCTGAGAAGAGACAGGAGGCTTGCATGGGGTCTCTGAAGTATAACAGGTATTTATGAATGAAACTGAAGAAGTTTGAAAGGCAGCATTGAACTTGGTAAGTAACCACAGATACATGTCACTGGAGAGTCCAAAATCCCTTATTTCAGAGACAAGGGAAATAACTCCTTTTGAGAAGAAAACAGGTTCCTCAGTTCCTCAGGGATGCTAGGTTTTATCAAATAACTAGAAATCCTTCTATCGTGCAGCTTGAACTCATATCTGAATACATGAACTAACTGACAGATAGCACTACCCACCTCAAGTTTATTCATAAAATGTATTTTCTTCTCTCTAAATTATCAGAGAAATGTATATTATTGATATTTGGGAATAATAAGAGAATTGAAGTACCTATTTAAAAATCTCTACAGTATCTCATTGACTCACAAAAAGGAGACCTGTGATTTAATTAGTATGAACTAGGTGCTAGGCTATATGATTGGTAGTGAAAACTTTGGGGTAAACTTAGATTGGTTTCCATTGAAGATTCATAGTTTGCATCAACAAATCAAGCTCACAGGAGCTGGCAACAAGTACCTTTTCAAACTTCAGGATTACAGTAACCTTTGAGTCTTCTTTTAATCACTACAAGCATTTTTTAGCATTTTAAACACTTTGTATCATTTTCAAATATGGCATTTACATCATATCTGAAGCTCCTAGAGGCTTAATAATTATCTCCCTCCCTTTTCTGAATTTCAAAATGAATAGGTAATTGTATCTTTTATAGCTTGTACCATAATTTCCAAAATAAGTCAGCACTACCATCTTGAATACGGTTCCTCAGATTTAAAACATCCACAGCTAAACACTGAGCTGAACTCTGGAATCCAGTTGCAGAGGGGGAGGCATGATGAGCAAAGGGGTCAAGACCAGGCTAGAGAAACCCACAGAAACAGCTGACCTGAACAAGGGGGGAGCTCTTGGTCCCCAGACTGATAACTGGGAAAACAGCATAGCACTGATCCAGACTCCATGAACGAGGATGTGAGTTTGGAGGACTGGGAAATCTATGGGGCCTCTGGTAGTGGATCAGTATTTATCCCTAGTACATGGATGGACATTGGGAGCCCACTCCACATGGAGGAATGCTCTCTCAGGCTAGACATGGGTGAGGGTCTAGGCCCTGCTCCAAATGAGATGACAGACTTTTTAGATCCTCCATCGAAGTCCTCATCCCCCCTGGGGAGCAGAAAAGAGATGGCATAAGAGTTGGAGGCAGGCAGGGGAAGAGAGGAGGGAGAGGGCATTGAGACTGACATGTAAAAGCAGCTTGTTTCTAATTTAAAATTGGACTTATTACAATTATAAAAAGAAAAAGAAGAATGGCTCAGTATATGCAAGGCCCCAAGTCAGGTACAGGAGTACACCCAAGCTACCTGCTCTCAGGAGGCTGATGGAGAGCAAGTGTGAAGGCAGCCTAAGCTACAAGGGAATTTTTAGGCTATTCTGGACCATGCAGTTAGATCCTAACTAACCAAATAAAATCAAAACTTAGCAAGCTGGAAATGGCTCAATTTTTCTATATTGTGGCTCATTTATCTTACTTATTTAGTCAGGAAAATTTAAATATTTCCATTTTGATGACAGAGCTGTCAGTTTCTTCTAGCAATTTGTATGTTAACACAGACCATCAAGAAGAATTTTCAGTAACTGTGTTATAAGTAATGCTTCCCTTTTTGGTTTACTTTTTGTGATGTTGGCACACATTGTTAGTTTAATTATTATTGCCTGGATACAGTTCTTTCTCCTTTTAATTCTGTATTTGTCCATAATTTTAGAGCATGTTGCTTATCAATATTATTGGACCCAAAACTGGCAGCTGCAGAACCAGCATAAGATGGAACCAGGCCCCCTGAATATTGGTGCCAGTTGGGGGACTTGGGTAGTAGAAGCAATATTTATCCCTAGTGCATGCATGGGCTTTGGGAGCCCATTTCATGTGGAGGGATATTCTCCCTGCCTAGATACATGGGGAAGGGCCTAGGTTCTGTGTCAAATGTTGTGACAGACTTTGATGATCCCCCAAGGGAGGCTTCACCTTCTGTGATTAGTGGATGGGGTGTGGGATGGGGGTCATTGGGGGACTGGGAGGACAGGAGGGAGAGGGAATTAGGATTGGTATGTAAAATAAGATTGTAATTTAAATAAAAAATAGTTAAAAAATAAAACATCATTAAATGTAATGAGTTTTCTGGGAACATCAGTTCCCAAAACATGAAATAGAGATGATTAATTATGATTTCCAGTCCTTAGGCTTGTCTCTAGGTGGCTTTTCTATTAATCCATGTGTTCCCTTGAGGCTTGTTTATCTCATTTATGTACTGTTTATCCTGATTTCCTGTTTCCTCTGTGTCTGGCAGGCTGAACCCAGCTGACTGGCCCTAATATGGATGGATGGCTGACTCCCCCATTCAGTGTGCCCAACAGGCCCACCTATTCCTCGTCTGTGTAAATTTTACTCATTCAGCTTCTTATTAGACCACTCACATGCTTTAGGGAGGCAAGGTAAAACAGCAACACACCTTTACATAGTTAAACAAATGACAGATAAAAGCAGCACATCTTTACATATTTATACAAGTGCAGCATAAACAAATGAAGCATATCTATACATAGTCAAACAATTACTTTGCAACTCAAAGAAATGCAACATATCTTTACATAAATAAAAAAATACTCTATTCCACAACAATTAAAATACCACTGTCCTTACTTCCACAGGCCACTCAAAATGTTGTACTATAAAAGTGATTTCAAAATTCATATGCCACTGAACCTTTCTCACAAGAAATGGAAGCTGTGTGATGGTGGCACACGCCTTTAATCCCAGCACTTGGGAGGCAGAAGCAGTCAGATCTCTGTGAGTTTGAGGCTATCCACATCTACAGAGTGAGTTCCAGGACAACATCCAAAGCAATACAGACAAATCCTGTCTCAAAAAAACAAAAATAAATAAATAAATAAAAATACAAAATAAAAATGAAATGGAGAGCCAGGCAATGAATGAGTCTGACAGGCCCTTCTAAGGACTGTATTTATGTGAAGTTTTTTCTTTGGCATATAAATTTCATCTCACCATCTGAATTCAAATTTGTCCTCAGCCATTAGATTACGGTATTTTCATTTCTGCCACTAAAAGTTTGCCACCAGCAACCTGAGCACAGCTGGTCTTTGAGAATCTCTTCCAGTGTTTCAAATGAGCACTGATTCCTTCATTCTCTCATCACCTATGCATACTTGTGGCTGGCCGGATACAATGATTTTTTCAATGGTGTTAAATAACTATTCTCTACCTGCTTGTCTTTAAGGCTTTTGCCTTAAACCTCCCTGCACACTTTTTTGTCTTGCATCTCTGTTTTTCTTTTTCTTTTTAACTTTTGGCTCCTTTTTAGTCTTTCTCACATCATCATTTCACCTTCACAGATTGGTCCCTGTCCTCAGGTTCTTCAAACTCTTCCTAAATGGGCTGCTGTTCATAACTCTCTAAAGGACTCCTAAAATATGACAGACTACAAAGACCACCCCCATGGAAGGCTACACCCTCCTCCCTGGAGAGCAGAAATGGTATGGAATAGGTAGGGTGTAAGTGGGGGGCATGGAATGAGGTGAGGGAGAGGGAACTGGGATTGACATGCAAAACAATCTTCTTTCTAATTTAAATAAAAATTGGAGGAAAAAACCTCCAATATTCCAGCTTCTCCAAACACTTCTTAAGGTTCTTGGAATACCCTGAAGCTGCTCCTTTGGAACAGCCTTCATGCCCCCTCTTTCCCCATGTGGAATCATCTACTGAATGCTTAAGGACATACCACCTAATGGTTCTAGAATCTGATAACTTCAAATCATGTGTCACCACTATCAAGGACATATTTTATCTAAATAAATATATGCACAATCTCCACTGAGCCTCATTAGTATGATTCTTGCCTCCCTGGTACACTGTTCTAGTAAAGCACAAATCAGTCATATTTTCAGGAAAACCTATGCTCCTCTGGAGAACAAGGGCACCTGCAAAGGTTTCACCACTAGGAATCCACATCAATCTATATCCACCTCTCTGTAGAACCCCTTTCCTTACACAGTCATTAAATTTTTTCTGTGAATTCTTGTCCATTACATCAGGTCAAGAATCCTTAAGCAGCATTTAGTCATTGAGAACACGCAGTAGCTTTTTTCACACTCAAAGGACTGATGGGAGAGCTTGTAGGTTCAAGATACCTTTATTCAGATAAATATCAGTCAAATGCAAGCCAGAGTGTGCCAAGAGCAGCCAAGCAGTGAGCCAAGGAGAAGGGGCAGGAGAAGGGCTTCCATGGGCTCCATGGCCACTTATCAGCCCATGCCGTGTCATCCTGACCTCACCTTGAACACACCTTGACAGGCAGGGTCAGGCACACCTGTAGCCAGCCTCTAACAGGAATGGCTTACTGTCCCCTACAATTCCCCTTTTAGTCTAAAAGAGGATTAAAACTTAGCAGTTTAAAGTATCCAAACTTAACAATCATAAAGGTGAAATATAAGCATTAATTTACTTGAATAGGTAATAGGAAACAAAGAGAAATAGAGTTATTTGAGATACAGCAGTAAAGTTTACCTTATGGCATGTTCCTTTTGTTTGATAGTTATAGCTACCTTTCCTTCTGAAGCATCTACCCATGTGGTGTTCTTGGACTTCTGGAGATGAGTTTTCCTGTGAAGATAGAAGCAAAACACTTCCCTTTCCTTTTAGAGGTTTCTATTCAGTTAATGAGATATACCTCAGTAAAAACCTGTCACTCATCCTTGTCCAGAGGTTTGTCTTTTTTAACTCAGACCTTGATCAATTTTGATGATATCCAAAGTTTTCTTCTCCTGTGGAAAGAAATGCAAAACCCCTACCCCAATGTATTAGTAATACATGTCCAGGCTTCCATACCAAGGTCAGTACATCTTTGAAGTATACTGGTTGATTCAGTTCAGCAGTTTTTTTCTGTAGTCCAGTGTCTTTCTGCAGTTGTTTGTCCGCTGTCATTGATGTTATTCTTTTGTTTAAAAAGAAGAAAAGAGAAATGCTGAGACATGAGACATGTTGACTATAAGTTCATTATAAGGCCCGGCAGAGTAGGGAGACTAAGAAGAGGAAAGGAACAGGGATAATTGCTGACCTCCATGGCCGGTCGCCACAGAGAGAGCGCATAGGTGAGAGAGAGTAGAGAGGAAACAGAGAGGAAGCAGAGAGAGTAAATGGGCAGGTATCTGCACCTGCGTGCAGACTTAGTTCCCATGGAACCTTGGGCTGACCAGGGTACTGCCTGTTCCACCAGGTAACAGGGGTAGGCTAGCATAATGCCTGAACTTTTCAATTGGCATTAAAAAAGTTCAGTGCCAATAAAGCATTATGCAACCTATGTTTTTGACTTACCAGCTTGTCTATGGAGCATCTCTTTAAGTGTCCTGTTAGATCTCTCAATGACTGCTTCTCCTGTAGGATTTTGTGGTATACCGTTAACATGCTTTATGTTATAATATTTGAAGAACTGTTCCATTTTTGTGGAGACATATGACAGAGCATTGTGAGTTTTTATTTGTGCAGGTATACCCATAACTGCCGTCATGTCTAGCAGGTGTGTAACAACAGAATCAGCTTTTTCAGAGTTGAGAGCAGTAGCCCATTGGAAACCTGAGAATGTGTCAATAGTATGATGCACATATTTCAAATTTCCAAATTCTGCAAAGTGAAAGACATCCATCTGCCAGATCTCATTCCTCTGAATGCCTTTAGGATTACAGCCTGATGGCAGTGGATTTTGGTTATGAAGGAACAAGTAGGACAGTTTCTCACTATCTCCTTGGCTTGTTGCCAAGTGATGGAGAAGTACTTTTTTAAACCTTTGATATTTACATGATGCTTTTTATGAAAATCTGAGGCTTCTAGCACAATTCCAATTAAAAAACCATCAATCTCCTCATTGCCTTGTGCTTGTGGGCCTGGCAGACCCATATAGGATCTGATATGCTGTCTGGAGCGATATCCAGGAGTTCCATTAACTGCCTGCATTGAATAGGGGATGTTAACTGATTTGCTATTGAATGACATGGCCTCAGTGGGGAATGTCTCCTTGTTTGCATCTCTATGGGCCTAAGCATCTGAATAGGCCTGCACCTGGCCGAGGTTCGAGGTGTGTATGCAACAAGGGAGGACAGAGCATGAGGAGCCATCTAGCAGAGAGGAGAACAGAAGGACAGAAGGACAGAAATGGCCTCCTCGTGGCCATGGAAGCATGGTTAAGAAACAGCTGAAAAGATGGTAAATAAACAAGAGACTCTAGTTTTACAACATGGAACTGAGAGCTCTCTAAAGATGACAAGATGCCTATGTTTGGTCTTTATCACCACTGGGTTGCTAGGAGCTTCCAAGCCCATGCTCCCCGACTCAGGCCGAACATCAAGGCTGTTGTGTCTTGGAGACAAGACCGGCTGGGCTACGACAATATGCATAATGTATAGAGGATTTCTTCTGTTTCTGATTATTTCCTGTAATTGTAAAAACAACAGGGTTAATTCCTTATTATCAGGCATGATTTCTGAAGTCTCAATGTGTAAGATGACTCTCTCTGCATATTGGGAATCAGTAACTATGTTAAGAGTTTCTGTAAAATCCATAAGTACCATGAGAATTGCATATAATTCTGCCTTCTGTACAGATGTATACAGACTTTGAACTACTTTACTTACTTCACCTGCTTTATAACCTGCCTTACCTGATTTGTTGGCATCAGTGTAGAAGGTAAGAACTCCAGAAATGGGAGTTTGTCTTACAATATGTGGAAGAATCCAGAATGCCTTTTTTTATGAATTTAATTCTGTCAGTTTTGGGAGAGTTGTTGCTAATTCTCCCAAAAAAGTCAGTAACAGCTATTTGCCAATATTCATTATCCTTCCACAAGGAGGACATTTCATCATTAGTTAAAGGTACCAAAATTTCTGCTGAATCTTTTCCAGTTAGTTGACGAAGTCTTAATCTGCCATTTAAAATCAAATCAGAAATCTTTTCTATATATGTCTTTAACTTTTTATTCTGTTTATATGGCAGAAATATCCACTCCAATATAATGTCTTCCATCTGCATCAGAATTACCGAATATTATTCTCTGAATGGCAAGATGACCAAAATACAGTCTAAATCAAGGTTTATCTGATCTACATGCACATCCAATATTCTGTTTTCTACCCATTGTAAATCTTTTTCTGCCTCGGCAGATAATATTCGTGGACTGTTTAGGTCCTTAGCAGCTTTAATAACCATTTGTAAATGTTTTAAGTCATGACCTTGTACCCCAATAATCATCTGTAATTGAGAAATTTCTCCTAGCAGCTTCTGAAGATTATTAAGAGTTTGATAATGATCCCTTCTAATTTGCACCTTCCTTGGCCTGATTCTTTGTAAGTCTATCTTATAACCTAAATAGTTAATAGAATCTCCTCTTTGTATCTTTTCTGGGGCAATCTGTAACCCCCATCTAGTCAGAACTTCCTTCACCATGTCAAACATACATTCTAAAGTTTCCTTATTGGAATTTGATAAAAGAATATCATCCATGTAATGAAAAACAAGGGATTGTGGAATTTTTTTTACAAATTATTTCCAAAGGTTGTTGAACAAAGCGTTGACATAAAGTAGGACTATTTAGCATCCCCTGAGGTAAAACCTTCCACTGATATCTCCAAACTGGCTGTGAGTTATTAAGTGTTGGTACAGTAAATGCAAATTTCTCTCTATCAGTTTCTTGTAATGGTATAGTGGAAAAACCGACTTTCAGGTCAATCATAATGATTGGTCATCCTTGGAAGGCAATGGCATTCCAGGCTGTAGAGAGCCCATAGGCTGAATTACCTTACTTATGACTCTCAAGTCTGTCAGCATTCTTCACTTACCTAATTTCTTTTTGATAACAAATACAGGAGAATTCCAAGGGCTGGTAGACTCCTCTATGTGTCTAGCCTCTAGCTGTTCCTTTACTAACTTTTCTAGAGCCTCTAGCTTCTCAGAGGTCAAAGGACATTGCCCTACCCAGACAGGTTCATCTGTAAGCCATTTTAATGGCAGGGCCTTTGGTTCCTCTGAAAGTCTATCATTTGTATTTAGTTTCTGTACAGCCTGGATGGTTGGTAACTATTTCCCATAGTGTCTTACCAGATCCTTTCTACTATCCAGTGATTGTACATAATTCCCATCTGACACTGGAGGGATGTTAATTTGAGTTTTCCACCTCTGTAAGAAATCATGATCCCAGAGCTTTATAGCTATATTTGCCATGTATTGTTTTAGTCTCCCTTTCTGTCCTTCTGGTCCAATGCAGACCACCGAGCAAACACTCTGTGGTACTCTAGATAGTGTTCCAATACCCAGAAATTGTACATTCTCTTCGCTGAGTGGCCATTCCTTCGGCGGCCAGGACTTATGGGTAATATTAGAGATATCAGCGCCAGTGTCTACTATGCCATTAATAATTTTATCATTAATTTGTACCCTACCATCTATGGCATTGCCATCTTTAACAATAGATGAAGAACTATCTATTTGT